ATTTATTTAAGGGAGAATTGTAAAGATATTATTGAATAAGTTCTATTCAAAATTATTTACTCTATATAATTATATATATTAATAAAAGTTTTTTTATTTATTTGAAAGTGAAGCACTTTGATAAATTTACTGTGAAGGATGATTTGAAAAATATATATGAAGTTCTAAAATTTTACCCAATTATAGTAATTCAAATCTTACATGCACAAGGACTTCTTATATACTTATTTATCTTTTACTTATTTTACTCAATTAATTGAGGATATTTCTATATTTATATAGGAGAAATTATTTAAATAAATATGGGATGTTACAATGCGCTTTTTAAATCTCTCTTCATCCATATTTATGAATATTCATAAACACTTATGAAATCCTTGTAATTATATCTTTCCAACAAGCTATCTTAAGCCCATTTTCGATCTCATTTGCTAAGTCGAAGTGTCGAGACAAGCAAAGGTCTCATTTCAAAAATTAACAGACACACTCTGCATTAATGTGAGTGCTACGACCAATCTTTATTTCCAAAAATTTGAATGAGAATAATTATATAAACCTCAATATCTTAGCTTTCAAACAAAATTGGTTGGGCTTAATTTGGATCATAAATTAATGAGATATACAATTTTTAATGAAACTATCTCATAATTGCATTTTCTCTACTAACAGTAGCAAAAGTCTTCTTTTTGAACTACTTGCATATGATTTTATTGACATGCATTCACATACTTGTGTTCCTTATGACATAAATTTTCCATAGCTATCTTGTGCCCAATTTGAAGTCCATTTGATCTTTCAACGACATGGATGAACTAAGTATCTCAAATCTGTCAAAACAATATATGACAACAAAAACACATCTCTGTACAATCATTATTCTGTACCACCTGCGTGCATGGAAAATTATTTTAAGAGCATCTTTGTAATCCTTACGATGTTAGTTTTCGAACCCCTTTTTGTGAAAATCAATTTGGAAGTCATTTCCCTTACTTTTGGTCTAAAACTCCCAAGCTGCCCAATGTGGAATTCTGCAAAAAATATTTTTCTGAAATATCATGCAGCAACAACTTTCTCTCAATTTCTAGAAAAATATACATATGGAAAACATTTCCTAATCATGTTTCTGTATTCTAGGTTATATAAGCTTTATAACGAGTTATCCCAAGTTTGAATTAGATTCCATTTGCTTCCCCAAAGAGCGAGGATAAGTCAACAACTCATTTTAAATCATGATAGTTTTACCTTTCCAAAGAGCTATCTTGAGCTCGATTTGGATACCATATCACTCAATTACCCTCCATTTGGTAAGGGTACCGAAACTTGAAATTCTAGTTGTTAAGAACTAAGCACCATGTTGTACCGATACTGTTTTTAGCTTACTAAAATTATTTGACTCAGTTAAAAATCTCCTCTAACGAGCTTTGTGTTTGTATTCTTGAATGAGAAATGCATCAATACCTCACATGCTTATTCGGATTCTAAACACCTAAGTTATGGGCTCAATCGCAAGAACCGCTTGGAAAGGACGATTATCAATCCCATTGAGAAAAACACAAATACAACCTAAACAAGGTTGGAGGTGGAGCATTTTTCCTCACCAAACTAAATTACTCTCTAAGGTGAGAGGGAGAAACTTTCTTATGACTCGAGTTAGGAGTTGAGAGAATTGATAAGAATACACTTGATAAAATTATGAATGTTGTCTGTAGTTGAAAACTTTTAAGAATTTCTCACTCTCTTGAGCTTATAGACATGTATTTGATATTGAGATTGATATGTTTGCTTGTATTACTTGACAAATATTTGCTTTTTATGTGTCAAGTCCCATTGTCGACTCCAATACATCACTCAATATTGATCTTCCTAATAAACTCCTTTTATAATTTTATATAAAATATAATTTTTATGGATTCAATTCTTCAATTATAATTATATATTCTTTGTCTTTATTAAATTCCATTAAAATTAAATAAGTATAAAAATTGCAATCAAATAATATTTATTTTTATAAGTATATTATATATAATGTTAAATTTTATGTATATAAATGAGAGTACAAATCTTGCAAAAGTCATCAGACAGGTGCTAACATTTTTTCAATTTGTGATTAATTTGGTGAAGGTTGTTTTTTATATGCAAATGAAATTAAATTGTTTATCATTTTCAGTAGATGTTAATTTGAACTTATTTAACTCGAATTTATAAAAATATATTATCATGAATTAAATATGATTGACGGTATTTGAGGTAAATAGTTTCTTTTTCATAGCACTTGATAATACATTCAATTAAAGGAGGTGGATGCATGTCTTCCAAGTAACAGAGCTTCACCAAATTAATCTTTGCATAAGCTCTATAATAATTCTTTTAACCTAAACTAAGTATCTATTCTTTTATGGAATATCATTTCATTTTTTATTCGTGTCTGATTCTCTTTGTTGAATGTTCTTGGTCTCCATTCCGATAAGATTGTGTCATTTTCATGTAACATCAAACCGACACATTTCTTAAAGTGTGAATGTATGTTATAATAGTTTTTCATTGTCAAAATGTGTATGTTATAAAGTATAGAGTGGGTTGGATCATAATGTGGATCAGGACACCCCATTAAAATAATATGAGTGGGTTAGCAAATTCGGATTTTAGAATACAATATAAATCACTGCTATTCACTATTTTTTGTAAAGCGTGCATTATTTATTGGCACCAGTTATTTCTTCTCAGAATTTGACTTATCGCTACTGAACGCTGAACCAATCAAGCACTAAAATGATATGGTTCGGTTTGAATTATTTTGATCCTTAAAATATTATGCTGAAATTAATTTAGCATTCGTTTAATGGAGATAATAAGATAAAAATAATAATAAAATATAACGTTTATATTAATAAGATAGAATAAAAGTAAAATATGCTCTTATTTTGTGCAGAATTTATATATATATATATATATATATATATATATATATTTAATTTCACACATACATTACATTAAAAAAAAATAGAATAAGTTAATTGGATAGTAAAGCTTAATTTAATTTTCAAAAAATATTTAGGTAATTTTTGCATTAATTTAATTCTTTATTAATAAAAACATACATTATTTATCGTTGAACATATGGATCAATTAGAATAATTAAATAAATCAGTCTTAATTGATTGAATCTTAATTCATAGGAGCTAGAACTAAAAAGCTTGTGAGACTAAAAATTTTACCATATTAAAAGCTTATAGAATTAAGTGCATTACGATTAACTCATGGATCAACTGCTTTTAAAAAAAATATTATAAATCATTAAAAATATTTATTTTATATAATATTTTTCACTATAAATTTATAAACAAACAAAATTATTTAAAAATTAAATAAAAATAACTAAATCTATATAATATTTAATATTTAAAATAAATTATTATTATTAAATGATATTAAATAAAATATAATAATTTATTATTGTTAATAAATATTTATCTAAATATTTTTTGAATTTTTTATAATTATTAAATCATAATAATTTTTTTATTTATATAATTTTATAAATAATCTCTTAGTATATTATTTTATAATTTTATTTGAATATTAATTAGAAAAAATTTTATGTTTAATATTTTTATATTTCTATTTTTTTTTATAAAATTATTTTAGATACATCACATGTTCAATAACTATTTTTAAAATTACTATAGAGACACAAAATTTGACAACTAAAAATACTATTAGCTAAATTTATTAAGTCATTTATTGTTATTAAAATGCTCAAAATAATTTATTTGAATGAAATTTAATGTGTTAAAAAAATTTAACACAACAACGTCATCATAAAAATCATAGATATATAAATTTAAATTTTATTTCATCTTAATTTGATAGAATTTATTTTTAAAATAATATTATTTAATTTGATATAGTTGATAGATTTTTAAAATATTTAAAATATTTTTAATTAATTTTAAACAAAATAATTTAATAAAAATGATAAATAAACATGTATCTTTTAATAAAACTACTATAATAATTATTAATTACTTAACTCACATTAGTTCTGACTCATCTTTATATATATATATATATACATATATATATTGGGGCTTAGAATTAAAGTAAACACAGTGCATATAGGACTTAAGAAAAAATGGGGTTATGCACAGCGCATGGACTTGGGCTGCAGTCCTATATTGACAACTCTGTGACTAGTAGGTATTGTTTTCATGTAATCTCAAGTTTTAGTGAATACATTTATGTTAAATAATTGGAGGGGAAGATTCACCATTCATAATGATATTATCTAACTTGAACAAAATTGCTTCTAATAAAAAATATTTGTGATCTAAAACAAAGTATACATTATTTTAAAACATCACATGAATTTTTAAGTCTCTAAACAATATATAATAAATCTCATAATTTGTGTAAATAATAATTATTTTAACGTAACTTTTAATACAGAAGTTTTTTTCGCTTTTAAGATTCTTTCATTTAAAAAACATTATGAATTATTCATTATGAGAACAGTTGGACTTGCTCACTCGAAATTAGTATAGTTATCACCTAAATCATTTATGATTAAAAAATTATACTTACATAGAGTGATTATGAATGTGTGGTGTGGGTATATATATATATATATATATACACACAAAAGAAGGAATTTTTTTAAAACAAGATATAAGTATATATAGTTAATACTAAATTAAGAAATTAGTGTAAAGCCTTATTATATATTAATTCAACAGTTAAGAAACCTATGAAACTCCCAATACCATTCTTAGGAAATGATGATTGTCAATTTGGGTAAAACGTACAAGATTCTGTGGTTAAAGTAAGCAAGTTTCAAGGAACTGGTGAGCTACCATTAGCTAAACCAACAAAGAAATTTTGTTAAGAAACTTTGCTTACCAAGCTTTTGCTAACCAATCTAATGGCGATGCCCCAATATCTTGATGCATTTTTTCTCACCCTTTCTTTCATTCTCTTCAATCCTTCATTTTGCACAATAGGGAATGGCTGCAGGTAAAGAAGAAAAGAAGAAAGAAGACATTGAAGTGATCAATGCTGTTTACAGGGTTAACCTGCATTGCATGGAATGTGGGAACAAGATCAAAAAGCATCTCCTCATTACCCCAGGTATGAACTTAATTTAATATATTTTTTTATTTATATATCATTTTAGTTCCTATAAATATGATCATACTTCATTTTTATTTTTTTTAATTTTAATATTCTTAAATTTTGAAATTCTGTAAAATAGTTCATGTCACCGTATAATACTAAATAGTCATGTTACTTCAATGATTATTTTGATATAACATATGATTTATCATATCTAAATATATACATGTAATAAATATATAAATAGTAAAAGAGATTTTTTTAAAATTATAAAATTTATAAGAATTAAAATTAAATGTAATTATATTTATAGAGATTAAAAATAATTCCATCCAATCTTTTCTGTATGCTCTAATAATTAAATTTCTGTAATATAAAGATTTTATTTAATCCTCATTGAGTGAATAGAATTAATAGATTAATGTGATTGTGATATTTTGGCAGGGGTACAGAGTGTGGATATAGATATTGAGAAAGATGAAATAAAGGCAAAAGGGAAAATAGACCCTTTGAAAATATTGAAGCTTATAGAGAAGAAAAGCAAAAAAAAAGTTGAATTAATATCACCAAAAGTGAAGCCCAAGGAGACTCCTACTGTGGATATAAAGCCCAAGGAAATCAAAGATGTAAGTTATTTCTAAATTTTCAATTATTTGCAGTTCACTACATATATGGGTGTAAAGATATTTTTATTTTTATTTAATCATAAGACGATTAATAATTTTGTCATTGAATTTTACAAATAAATAAAATTTTAACGGTTATACTAACTTTAATTTTTAAGATTAAATTTAAACATTCAAAAATAGTAATTTTTTAATTTAAAAAAAGGTCATTTATATTAATTAGAAATATAAATGTATAATAAATGCAATAAAAATGCCATTTACTAACAAATAAAAAACATCAAGTGTTAAAATAATCTTTGTTGGTACAGTATTTGTCTAACATTTTTTTAGGACAGGATTTAAAGATTTATACTAATAATAATATATATTATAGCAATAAATAATTTTGTTAATAAAAATATTAATATATAAAATTACTGTATCAATTGTTAGTAGAAAACGTAATTTGTCTGCATAAATCTCTATAAAATCTATACTAACAATTTTTTTTAATGTTTGATAATTTTTGTGTATTATTAAATGACAATTTCTTATAGTAATATTTTATTTATAATAAAATTTTACTACTATAAAGTGTTTAATCTCAATTTTAAGAGTTAAAATTAATATTTTAAAATATTTTTTAAAAATAAGAAGCTACTGTAAAGGTTTGTGCACTGATGGAGGTGTATGTGTGTAACTAAAGTTCTGGAAAAAAACGGATTAAACTAATGCTTTTCTTTTTCTTTTGTATTTTTTCCCCTTTGTTTATGCATTTTTTTTCCATTGCTTTCCCACATTTTTTTAATCAATTGGGCCTCTAAGATAAAAACTTAAAATAATATACAAAACATTCTACGAACCTTGACCAAAACAAATATTCTAGGACCGTAAAAATAAAAAATATTTATATTTTGCTAATATATTTATAATACAATTTATGTATTAAAAAATTATATATAACATAATTTCCTAAAAAATGCTAAAATTGTCTATTATTTTTTAGTTATACTTAATTCATTTATTACTTTAACATTTGATAAAAGAAAGAGTGCCTAATTGTTTCAGTGTTCACACTGCATAATTTCGTTCTTGCAAATTGAAATTTTTTCCCAATCATTCATCATACTTGGGAAAATATGTAAGAACAATTAGCACAGTTAGATTTGTTTAAGATATCATATCCTATTAAACCAAAAAAGAAAATATCAAACACAGTAGAAATATATAAAACAACAATTAATAATGTAAAAGGTTAACTTTTTAGTCATAATATTTTGATTAATGATGATATAACAAAAATACATGTCAAAAGAATGGGTCTAGAAAAATTATACTCATAAAAAAGATTATATACAAAGTAAACACATTTGCAGCAGTATGAACAAATTAAAATATTCATCACCAACTTTTGAATTGAAAAGTCTTGTTCAGATAGCACATAGGTTTACCGTCCACACATTCATTATTTTTTCTGTGATGACTGTTTTTATAATTGCAATTTGTATGAAGAATCGTGGCATGAAAAGGAATAGCTACAATTATTTAGGCTTTAAAAAATTCAACTTGACATTTACCAGTTCTGAAAATAAAATAATCCACCTTGATAATGGAGTTAATTTAACTTTCGTTGTCTTAGTAAACTCTTTGTTTTTGGGGTCAAGTCTTAGTAAACTGAACTTAATCAAATAATTGTTCATGCTCAAATTTAACATCACAGTCTAAACTTACATCGTTCTGGTGTAAACTAATCCTATGATATAAAGCAAGTTACATATTTTTTTTAATTCCTTAAAATATATCGTATTTTATTTTTGTCTTTTAAATTACGTGAATTATGTATTACGCCTGAAATTTGTGACTCAATTAATGTTTAAAAGAAGTAGAGCATAATTTACATCATAAGGATTTGTAATTAAATAAGCTGATAAATATATTAAATTATCAGAATAAAAGAATTATATTAATTTATTTTAAGAGAAAAAAAGAATATAAGTTGATTATTTAATAAGGCATTATTTTTTCTATAATTTAATACGTTATAAATCACGTGTAAGATATCACTAATTTTAATCCATTTTATCTTAATTTTTATAAATATTTAATGATTTATCTCAATAATATATCACTAATACTCCTAGCTTAGAAATTTTCTTTCTTTGTTTTTGGGAAGTGATCGACCCTGTAACCTGGGTTTCTAAATCCAGCAAGAAATGAGCAAGGATGAAAAATTTAATTATTCCACATGCTCTTAATTAATTAAATGTTATATAGTTTAAGGCATTTAAAAAAAATAGTAAAAGCTTGTGTTTAGATAAAATTGACAGTAAATAAAAGGAATAGAAAAAGTCTTCCCTTCAAATAATTAATATTTGAACTATTTTTGGGGCTATATGAAACTTATTTTATTTTATTTTATTTTTCATGTGTGATTTCAAGCCAATTATCCGCACTATCTCGGTGAAGGTTCACATGCATTGTGACAAATGTGAAGCTGACCTAAAAAGTATATTAATAAAGCACAAAGGTACAAATAACTCAGTGATGAATTCATGTCACATGTGAACCCTTTCCATCTATTTAGACAAGCTTATCCTAATTCTAAGTTGACAAAATATAGGTATTTTCAATGTTAAAACCGATCAGAAGGCTCAAACTGTGACAGTTGAAGGTACAATTGAAGTGGATAAATTGATATCATTTTTGAGAAAAAGGGTGCATAAAAATGCTGAGATTATTTCCATAAAAGAAGAGAAAAAGGGTAAAGAGGAAGGGAAGTCTTCAGAAAACACCAAAGATAAGGATCAAGGTAAGTCTAGTGAATCAACAAAGGAAAAAAATGATGACAAAAAATCAGGTGAATCAACAAAGAAAAAAGATGATGACATAAAATCAGGTGAATCTACCAAGAAAAAAGATGATGACATAAAATCAGGTGAATCTACCAAGAAAAAAGATGATAGCAAATCAGGTGAATCTACCAAAGAGAAGGATTTAGTGAAGTCTGGTGAATCAGCCAAAGAGAAGGATTTAGGGAAGTCTGGTGAATCAGCCAAGGGAAAAGCAGAGGGCAAGTTAGGTGAAACAAGCAAAATAATAGAGATTCATCAAGGGTATACAAAAGAAGAGATTAAGATTAAGGATAATGTTCCTTATATAATTCACTATGTTTATGCCCCACAGCTATTTAGTGATGAGAATCCAAATTCTTGTTCTATTTTGTAATTGGAGTATTATAAAATAGACTAAATAAATAAATAATTCATATAGAAAAAGATATAGAGGGGCCAGTTCCCTGCTTGTTAGGTTATCTACAAACTTTATTTTAATATTCATATTATAATTGTTTGTGAAATGGGGTGCTTGTAATTTCAAATACAGTGTATATTTGATCCATTATTCTTCTGCCTGTTGTATCATTGATTAAAATAATAAATGCCTTCTGTCAATTTCAAGGGAAAGCCATTCCAGTAATACTCCAATTTGCTGTACATTTTTTTTTTATCAAATTTATATTTAAGGTGTAAATGCTAAAGTAATTTATAATACCAAAAAAAATATATTTAAAAGTAGGTTATGTATCTGTATAATATACAGGTTTATAAAAAATATTATTTTATTTTTATATTATTAACCATTTAATATATATTAATAATATTAAATATTTTTATTTTAACTATACTTTAGATAATTAACTTAATTTACTTGAAAATATTAAATTATTTATTCAGTATTTAAAAATTTATTCAATATCAAATTACATATTAAGATTTGTGATATTAAATCAAATGATATGGAATAAGTTATTTTATTAATGTCATTTTTTTAGTAAACATTTAGAGAAATTTTTGTAAAAGAAAAATTAGTAAATAAATATTATTTTTTTCATAAGTTAGAAACAACTCATACTTTTTTGTGTTATGAGAAGTTAAGTGAAGTTTTGTCCTTTAAATTTTCTAAAATTTGAAAATATAAATTATTTTTAACTTATGAAAAAGTTTTCTAAATTGTTTATACTAATTTTTTTCTTCCCTAAGGATTTATATAGAAGTTCAGCTAAATAAAACTTAAGTTATAGAATAAATCATTTCACCACAAAACCAATTGATGGGAGTTTATTTCAACTTAATATATGATCTCAAATTCTAGTTTAAGTTCAAGTCTCATATGAAATCAAGGAGCAGAGTGTCCTTATGAGACTCCATAGACAGATTCAATAAATCTTATTATTCATATTATTTTATACAATAGATTATTACATTTTATTTTCAAAATATGTATTCTACAATAATAATTCATGTTAATTTTATTGTTAATAAAAAATGTTAAAATATTAGTATTGTTAATGTAATTAGCTTGATTAGCATTCTTATTGTATTATCTTGTTTATAAATTAATTGAGTATGTAATTTTTTTATATTTCATTGTGAGCTATAAATAGGGTACTTTTGTATTCTATGTTAGTTTTGTGTCTTATCTCCTTTCTTGTTTTTTTATACTTTTATTTTGTGCATAACTTTAGAGTTTATTTTGAAGTTAATTTTTGGAAAGAAAGTTTCCATGTGAGTTTATCTTTATTTAAAAGTTTTCAAATGAGAAAGAGTTTATAAAACCTCTAAATTTTTTTAAATCCTGTATTTTAAAATTTTCTCAATATAGAATTTTGTATTAACTATCATTCCTCTTCATTTTTCCATTCCTCCCTTACCCTTTAATCACTTTCCTCTCCTCTCTTTCTAAACTTCCAAACAAAATCTTATCCTACACTTCTTCTATATTAACTTTTTTTTTTCTACATTAGAGTTACAATTTTAGTTTTCTTTTTTCTTTCTTCCTAATATTCACTATTTATTGTTTTGTGTTTTGTTAAGTTTCTCTCTTAAAGTTTATTTAAACATTGAGAACCATATTTCTTCGTGTTTTTTGATATTCACAGTTTGTTCTTTCTCTTTGTTATTGAATTGATTTCTTTATTAATTACTATTAATATTATTAAATATGTAAAACAAATCATAATTAATATAAATGAATTAATAATCAGACTGACTAATAAGGTAGAAAAATACTATATATCATGCATTTATTGACTGTCATTTTACTTGTAGTGCATAAAAAACAACTAATTTGATATTTACATACAATATTTAATATTTAAATTGAAAAAAATGTAAGAAAATGAAATAATTTAATTAAAACATTAAATGACTATTAAAAAATTAAGGTTTATCATCTTTTCTTTTCTAAGATGCAATAAAATAGTGAAAGTTTATATATGAATAAAATTTAAATATAGACTATTAAATATCATTTACTGATCATATTATTAAATTAAGAAATTCTTAATCGTTAAAAATAGACAATGATTAATAACTATACCACAAAGTCAATGGATGGAAATTCTAATTTAGTGTGCATATTTTTTGCTCTTTTTTACTCTTTTATTAATTTTATGATTCTCTCATTAATTAATATTAATATAATTCATAAAAATATTAAAAAACAATGCATTATTATTAATTATTGAATGAATTTATTTGAAAATCCATTAAAGACACTTCCTTGAGTAAAAAATTTGTTGAAAAAGGATATAGAAATAAGACAAAATATTTCAATTAGAAATTAATTTGATTTCTTTTAAAATTTAATGTGACTCTATTGAACAGAGGTTATAAAATGGGTCGATCTTTTGATTTCTTCTATTAAAAATATTACATGAAAATATAAATAATATATAAATTTAGCTACTCAATTATATATATATATATATATATATATATATATATATATATATAACTTCCACTTATATAATTTAATTCCTATAATATATAATTCTTATTTAGCTCGACCTATACTAGTCATCCTTTTTGCCATTTCCAAATATTTCTGGTATTTGACAAACAAATGCAAATTAAGTAATTTTAAAAGTATAGGAATAAACATGGGTCCCGATCATTTCCTCTTCAGCTAATATAAATAAAATCATATATGTAGATTCTATTTCTATTATATAAAAAATACAAAATATAGTAATTTATTTATTTTATGTGTTAAAGTTTGTTTACTTTTGACCACTTTTCTAAATATTTTTAAATCTATCTTTATAAATAAATATTGATTTGAAAGTATAAGCAAATGAAAGTTGAAGAGAGAGAAATAATATTATATATAAATATATTTTCATTTTAAAAGTCACATATTATTTTACTTTTGAAAATGATAATTTTATATTATTATAAATTAATTAATTTTAATTTTTTTTTGTCAATATCTATCTATTTATATACACTGCTAAAGTTCTTTCACTAAAATTATCACGTGATTTTTTTTATTTTTTAAAAAATGTTTTTAGTAATTCATTGTATTTATTTTTAATTCACACTTTAGAAAGTGAGGTTACGTGTGATATTTTTTAATTTAGAAAATTATGTCAATGTTTTAGGTTAAAATTTACTCACTTCAATCGAGTCTGCTTGTGTTTCTTAATTTGGATAATTGAGAGTGTGATACAATTCTTCACATATTCTAATACAAGATACTACCAAAAACTAAAATTCATAAAAAAAGTATATGTATATTCTTATAACATCGAAAATATTCTCATATGTATTAGTTTTTAAAATTTTCATAACCAAATCAAAGAAAAAAATACACTCAATTCTTACTCAATTTTATATAAAATCTTTAAATAGGCAATTTCTCTTTATTCTTTTATCCCAATATTCCTCATATCAAATTCCTAATTAAAACTATAATCTAAAATAAATTCACATGAATATTTTTTTGGAATTAACATGACCAAATATCACGTGGATAATTTTTTAAAATTATTAACACAATACTTTTTCAAAATCATCAACTAAAAAAAAGAAAAGATTTCAAGTTTTAATTCTAACTTAAAGTAATAGAAGAAACATGAAAAAAAAAAGTTTGACAATTATAAGGTAAATCTTCTGGCATCAATTTGATATTTAAACTTGACCTCTTTTTTAATTGCCATGTTTTCTAAAATTTAAAGTAATGCAAAAATTAATCTTAATCATTAAATATATTAGAAATCTATAATATTACATGGGGTTGGGGTGTTTTTCTATAACAGATAAATTCATGAAATCGCAATTTGTACATATCAATGCCTAACCATCACTAATCATTTAATTACGTTATGTGATTAACAAATAATAATTAAAAGAGTTATTTTTGTAACATCTAATATATATATATATATATATATATATATATATTCTTAAATAGAAATACAAGTTTAAATGTTCTATTTATTTACTTCAAAAGTTTCTTTTATCATATTAAAAAGATATTATTATTATTCCTAAATTTGATTACTTATGTTATATTTTTTATGTGCGTTAAATTTATAAAATAATATTTTTTGCACCCATGTATCATTATTATACTCATAAAATTCTTAGTTTTAAATTTTGAGTAATATATATATATTGTAAGAATTTTTTATACTTTATTTGTTATCAAGTATTCTCAAGAACTTAAGAGCGGGATGAATTAAGTTCTTATAATTTTTTTTATTTTCTTTTGCATAACCTCACTTTTTAAGTTTTTGTTGGTGTAAAATATTTAAGGAATGCCCAAGTGAGTGTGAAAATGAGCATGCAAGTTATTGAAATGAAAAGTTGATAGAAAAAAAAAAAACCATAAACTAATACTTGCAATAATGTAAAAGTAAAAAGATGAGAGAAGCAAACACATATCTATCCTGGTTTATTCTTTCTTGTCTATGTCTAATTTCAAGCAATTGCTTAAGATTTTTCACTAGTCTTCAACCCTTAAAGGTGTTTGGAAACTTTTACAATGCTTTGAGTACTCACACTTTTGAAAATTCTCATTCTAGTACTTGAGTCACTCAACAACAAAAGGGATGTTTCACCCTTTTAATCTTTTTTAGGGATATTTCACCCTCTTGCAAGATTTCAAGATAAAAGAAACACAAGAAATTCACTCTCAGTTCAAGGAAAATGTTACAAATTGAAGCTCCAGAATGTTTTCATTTTTTTAGCCACAAAACTTAATAGAAAAATCAAGAGATAAGAAAGATAATTAACTGTGATTGATAAATGGTTTTTTATCATGTGTAAATGTACCATTCAACATGTATTTATAAGTCATAGAAACATACAAGTTTGGTAGTTCAAAACTAGTCATTTTGGTCATCTAACTGCACTGTAATTGATTTATCATACTTGTTAATTGATTACACTATTTAAAAATATAATTTTAGGTAATCGTAAGAATAATGTAATTAATTACAATTTACTGTAACCGTTTAACAGTAAGACAATTTATGAATTTTGTTACTAAAAATAATTATGATCTATTACTAGTGTTAAAAATACTTGCAATCATGACTAAATTCCCTTATAATCAAAACCTGTAATATAATTAATTACTTTATTTAATCACGATTATTATGTTAATAAAAGTATTAATTTATATAATAATTAATATAAAAAAAAACTCTCAATACATCCTAATTATTTTTTATTTTCTTTTAACGAATATGCCTTGTAAATTTTGTTAAACCCATCGGTTCCCAAAATTAAAGTCGTGGGTAATTTTTTCTAACTTGAACACGCTTGAGAGTTGATACCAATAGAAATAGACTGAAGTGGTCTTCTAGATGATGACCTCAGACACTGTTGAAAATAAGAGATCATTGTTTCCTGTGAATGCGAACGAGTCTAGTCAAGTTCTTCTCTTTATTTTCTCTTTTAAAATTACAATCAAAACGTGCCCTCATTCTTCGTTTTCGTTTCCACAAACGACACGATCCAGATACAACCTCTCAAGACTTTTACTTTATGAAACCCATCTTTTCGTTATAGACTATTTTTTTATACAGACTTTGATTCAACACTTTAACCAATCGTATTAAATGTTCATCATTTGAACTCATCGTATGCTGATTTAGAAGAAAAAAAATTATGATTTTATAAGCATGCAATCGAAATTTAAAAATATTTATTATATTAAATATATGAAAGTTATTTAGTATGTATTTATAAAATTTTAAAATAAATATATTAGGCCCTGTTACAAGAGGAATGTGTTATTATACTTTTTAATAAAAAAAATTTAAATTCGTTATTGGTTATCATTCATCAAACGTAATTAATGCTTTCACATGATGTGACCACCTCGCACGGACGTAATAGAAAATCTGATATACCAAACCATTCTCTAAATTATGAGCGTTAGCCAATTTAATCTTTAAAACTGTGTTTTTAAAAAATATATATTAAATTATGGTTATTTTAGTCTATGGTGTTATAAAAAAATGATAGTTTTAGTGTTATAATTATAAGATTAAAAATTTAAGCAGCTCATATTTAATAATAATTTACAAATTAAAACAAGATTTTGTGTAAATGATATTTTTTTTGTAATATAAAATTTATTTTTAATGTGTCTAAAAATGAACCCACAATAAATTAGTAAATAATATTTTTTATTAAACTTATAATATTAATTTTATTAATACGTAAATTCTACAATACATTGTAACTATTAATAAAAAATTACTATATATAATTTTTTATTATGTATTTTTGAAACGCTTTAAAAAAATTGACTAATTCTAAATCTTCTTACCTTTTATACCTATAAATTTTCCTAACTATTTAATATTTTTTACATTTTTAAAATAATAAATGCATGTATTTTTCAATTTAATACTTATTTTATTAAATAATATAAGAATAATGAGAAAGATTCATATGAAGATATAGTAAATTTATATAAAAATAAAATTAATAAGACATGAAGTGGAGCAATCGGGTGGTCTTGTTCTTGTTAAGTAAGAAGCGCGTGGACAAAGTTCTCTTGAAATGGACATTTATTATTTAAACAGAACGAGATAACATGATAACGTGAGAGAGTGTAGTAGTTGTAATGTAACATGTTCATACGACGAGAATCGCGTTATTCGCAGGTTGCAAAGTGAACACACAACACACGGCTATAGTAGGTATGTCATGTCCCAAAAACAATTAATTCGAATTTTCATAATCCAAACTCAGCACAATTAATTTTGAGATGTGATGAATTAATTGGTTCCACATAGAAACAACACGCATGAATAAGCAACGTTGCAAGTAGAAGAGAGAGAAGAGAAGAGTTGAATATATATATATATATATATATATATATATATATAGTGTGTGTGTGAGAGAGAGAGTGGTAGAGAAGAAGAGAAAGGTGAAGAGAGAATGAGTGGTGGAGGTGTTGAAGAAGGAAACGACTTGGAGTTCACTCCTACGTGGGTTGTTGCTGTTGTTTGCTCTGTCATCGTTGCTGTTTCCTTTGCTGCTGAACGTTTTCTTCATTATGGAGGCAAGTTTCTCAAGAAGAAGAATCAGAAACCACTCTATGAAGCTCTGCAGAAAATCAAAGAAGGTTCTTGTCTTCAATTCATTTTTTAAAAAAGTTTTGGTTGGCATATTTATTGATCAGAAAAAATTTTTAAGCGTTGAAGTATAGTTTTTAAGATAAAACTTTAATTTTGATCGAAGAATAACATGGAAAAATATGTATGTTATTGCATCCAAATTTTGTCTTTATGATTAAAGGGGTATGCAGTGATTCTGATCTGAGAAATGGGGTTTGATCAATTTTAAATTTTTCTTTTTTTTTTTTTGTTCTTGTTTCAGAGTTGATGCTGTTGGGTTTTATTTCTCTGCTTCTGACGGTGACGCAAAACGGGATAATCAAAATCTGTGTTCCGGTGGGTTGGACTCACCATATGCTTCCATGTAGCCTCAAGGATAAAGAAAATGAAGAATCAAAAACACCCACATCACATTTTCAGAATTCTTTCTCTGGCACTGTTAGGCACCTTTTAGCTGAGAGTGAAAATCACCAGCCGGCAACAGAGGCAAAAACTGGACACTGTGCTGCCAAGGTATTAAAACATTAGTATAAAGTGCATGCTATCATTCCCTGTTAATTACTCCATCCATTTCAAAATGATTGTCGTTTAAGGTTTTTCCGTAAAGATTAAGGAAAGCAATAAATATTTTAATTAGTGGAGTAGTTTTACTAAATTATCTCTGTTTATAGTTTATTTAGTTCGCTTAACTTTTCACTCAATATTCAAAAGTCATTATATTCATCATTTATTTATAATATAATTGAAATAAAATAAATAATGTTTCATTGAAATCTTAAAACGTGATTTAATATGATTTTATTTTTTTGCTAAAATGACAATTAATTTGAAATGGAGGGAGTGTCATATTCATAGTTTATCTTGACAAATTTTTTTAATGATTTTTCATCTCTTATGCCTTTGATCTTCCAGTTTCTGGCAGACTAAACCATAAATACTTTGTTGTGTATTTTTTATTTTCTTTTCAGGGCAAGGTTCCTCTATTATCCGTGGAAGCACTCCATCATTTACACATCTTTATTTTTGTCCTAGCTATAGTCCATGTGACCTTTTGTGTTCTGACTGTTTTCTTTGGAGGGTTAAAAGTGAGTACATAATACACTTTAATTATAAGGTTCTCTTGTTGAATTGAAACCTATTTTTTACTAATAAATATCTCTAATTAATAGATACGTCAGTGGAAACACTGGGAAAACTCTATTGGTGATGAAAACTATGAAGGACAGCCAGGTAAACAGATTTGTTCAGTAACTTATTGTATATTCTCTATTCAATTTGATCAATTTCTGTTTGTCTGGGAATCACTAAACCATCTATTTTTGTCATCATATATAAGAATTGAAGCCCAAGTTGTGGTATTAACGCCTCAATTGCCCAATTAGTTTAAATTTCAATTACATGTTGCCGACTCAGCATCTCACTTGGATAAGAAAAGTATGCAAAAATTGATGGAAAAGTTATAAGATGCCCAGTGTAGATAATGTGCAGGTTTATAAGTCTATTTGGATATGCAACTTAATTAAATAGTTTTTAATATTTTTTTAAAAAATAATGGCTGATGACTTATGTCATAAATTTATTTTAACTATGAAATTAATTGGGATAATCTAAAAAACAGCTTATTTTGATAAGCTATATCAAAAAGTTAATTGAAATAAGTTAAAAAAAGCTAATAAGAATCATAAATTATTTTCATAAGCTGTTACAAGCTCTTTCAAACATACCCTATATTTAATTTACCAGAAGTTTCCTAATTGAACTTCTGAAAAGTTATGTAATTTTATTTTTTCTCTGCTAACAACTTTTATATGCATACTGGTTTAATGCAGCTATGGAACCAACGGTGACTCATGTTCACCAGCACGCTTTTATCAGGGATCGTTTCACTGGTTTTGGCAAAGATTCTACTGTGCTGGGCTGGGTGGTAGGTTATTTATAAGTATTTAATTGTCTGAAACTTTGATAGAATAGAAAATACACACACACATACTCCAGTTCAGTCTTTCTTCATGTCAAGCCATTTCTTCTAATCTCTTAGAATGGAATTTGTGTGCAAATTGGATTTTGGATGTAGAGAACAAGGGAGAAAGTGTGTATATTTTACAGTGTCTATACAATGCAATAGTATCGCCTATTTATAGCCTAAAATGAAATGCAAAATGGGAAGTACAATAAATTACAATGAACAGAAATTGTTATGACAGACAAATTGATTCAATGAAGCCAATGTGATTATGCTAATAATGTTGTGATTGTACCAACATTGGAATTGGCTGTGTAGCTTGATGTATATTTTGGCCTAAACAATGGTTTTATATGGCATTGATTTCTGTTAAATCTTGTTTCTATATTATTTTTCCTTCCAGGTTTGATTACCACTTTGCAGTTCTATGTTTCATGATTTCATGTACAGATTAACAATTTTCTGTGAAACTGAAAAAACTAATGATCCTTGCTGTAGAGTGCAGACAGCTAAAATTAGTGACTGCATAAAGTTTTGCTAAGTGACATTGCCATGTTGTTATTGAAATGATTGTTATTCCTTCTAACTTTTCATGTCTTTTTCAGAAATCTTTCTTCAAGCAATTTTATGGATCTGTGACAAAATTAGATTATGTGACATTAAGGCTTGGTTTCATTATGGTAAGATTTTAATATGCTGTCAAATAAGCTCCTAGCTTCTTATTAGGCTGTAATTTCTAAGATTGAACCATAATTCAATGTATCTTGTATCTTTGTTTTAGACCCATTGCAGAGGAAATCCAAAGTTTAATTTTCACAAGTACATGATTCGGGCCCTTGAAGATGATTTCAAGAAAGTTGTTGGTATAAGGTATACGCTTCTGTAGAATAACTCTAGTAATTTTTTAAGCTTCTATTTGATACATCTTTTACAGTGTTTACTCAATAGTGAGCCTTGCTTATAAGTTATTGATTTCATGGTTGCAGTTGGTATCTTTGGATCTTTGTGGTCATCTTCATGCTGCTTAATATCAATGGTATGCTACTAGCCCTAGCACTTATGTGCAATGACTAACAGTTTCGCTGCATGCTATCTATATTTTCTACTTTAAACAGAGTTATGCTAGCCGATAATAAATTAGTATTACAGTGATGAGTTGATTTCACACCTAATTAAACCATAGAAAGTTTTACAACTATGTAGTACTATCTTGTGTCACATTGAACCCTGTATATGTTTCACAATTATTTTTGTAGTTTCTTGTTTTGGCAACATGGATGAATCTTGCATGGGATACAACATTGTATGACAGTCTAATTGGCTCTGCTATGTTTGAAACTTTTCTCTGTGTCCTTTTGTGTTTCTACATGTGCCATTCTTTGAGAGCTAAAGTGGTAAATTTTGTTAGTTAGTTTGTACCCTGTAACATTGTTAATGATTGCAGCAATGCAATCCCTTACTGATCTTTGTTTGTGCTTTTGTTGAAGAAATAAATAAATAAAATTTTCTATTATTAAAAAGGAAGAGGACTGGGAGTAAAGGATTTTTATGAGATTGCAATGAACATCATTAACGACAATGATTAGTATACTTTTGCCTAAAGGAGTGATAGTGCTAGTAGCATATTCTGTTTTTTTTATATTAATATTTAATAGCTTTAATTTGAATCTCATAATTATGATTTTGCTTTCTCTTCCAGGTTGGCACACATATTTCTGGATTGCTTTCATTCCTGTCATTGTAAGTATCATGATAAATTTGAATGGTTCTTTTCTGTGAACAATACCACATCACTACATTAATTCAGCCTTGATAACATGTCATGTCTTAATTTTGCTCAAGGGATATGAGAAATATTGAACGTTGCAAGATGTATGATTCTAATCCCATTAACATGATGTTATGACAGTTTTCGGCTGTATGGTTAATACTTAGTAAGAATTTGATCTTAAAGGCATCCTTCTAATTCTGATTACAGTTACACTAGTGTGAATTGTCATTTTTCAAATCTACTACCATCTTTTTCTTATAATGGATGCAATTGAATACGCTATTAGCAGGATAGGTAATTACTTCTCCATAGTAAACAACATAAGTTACTGCAACAATTTTTTTATATTCATTATTTAAGTTTATACTTAATGCAGTAGTTTGTAAAAATTATTTTTCTGTTTTTTTTTTCCAATTAATATTTTACTTATAGAAGAGTGATGCATTTGAACAAGTGCTGCCCTTTCTATCAATTTTGTTTTCTTGGCATCAGCGTATGCATAGGCATATATACACATATGAACACTATGCATACAAGTATATCTTCCACTTCAGTTAATTTTGCTTTTGCTGGTGTTGATTCTTTAGCTTCTACTTGCTGTGGGAACTAAGCTGGAGCATGTGATAATTCAATTAGCTCATGAAGTAGCTGAAAAGCATTCTGCTATAGAAGGTGAATTAGTTGTTCAACCAAAAGATGATCTTTTTTGGTTTCATCGGCCCCACATTGTCCTCTTCTTGATCCACTTCATCCTTTTCCAAAATGCTTTTGAGATAGCATTTTTCTTTTGGATATGGGTAAGCATATTGGTTTAAAGCACAAATTTATGGTGATCTTTGCTAGCCTTTTTGTAAAAAATTGTTCCATAGTTCTAGTCAATATAACCTTATTATTTGTGTATCTTAGGTTACGTATGGCTTTGACTCTTGTATAATGGGAAAAGTCCGTTACATTGTGCCAAGGCTCGTTATTGGGTAACTACAATACTTTCTTTATCTTTCTCTTTTGTGTGATACCCTTTTTTCTAAAACATTTGAATTTAATTAATAGGATTTGAGTCAAATCAATTTAAGAGACAAAGCTCTCCAATTGCAAGAACGGATCCACTCATATGTTTAACTTTTGCAAAACCATATCAAATGAAAATTTCATGTCCAACTCTCTTTGTAAACCTATACATAAATAAGAGAAATGTTAGTTATACACTAATTTTGTACAGCATTTTATATATATATATATAAAAAGAAATAGGAAGAATAAAGGAAAAAGTGTGATAAGAGAGTATGTGATGAAAATAAAATTGAGAGAAAAAACAGTAATAAAGAAAATATCATACAAAAATATTATATAAATTATACAAGTCTTTTTAATAAAGCTCTACTTATTTAATCTCTATGAAGAGAAAGATAGAGACAAAATTTTCAAATAACATGGTCATGTAAAATTCCACTCTAAGAGGTCCATCTCCCACCAATATTTGACTTCTTACACTTGCAAGTCTCAAATACAACCAAACACCTTAATATACTAACCACTTTCATTAATTTCTTTACATTGTGGCTTATTTCAACAGCATTCTAAATTACAATATTTTCTCTCTATCTCCTTTTTCTTAACCCTTTCTGTTGGGGTTGCAGGGTATTTATACAGATACTATGCAGCTACAGTACCCTACCATTGTATGCAATCGTTACGCAGGTGAATTAGAGTTGCTTTTCAAAATGAAATGATGTCCAATTTTATCTTCTACTTTTTTTACAAATTAAGGTGTCTTTACATTGACATTCATCATTTGCTACATATAATAATGTAGATGGGAACACACTTTAAGAAAGCGATATTTGATGAGCAAGTGCAAGCAAGAATTGTTGGTTGGGCACAAAAGGCAAAGAAAAAGGGATTAAGAGGTGAATCTGTTCAAGGAAGTTCTCATGCAAATGTTGGAATTCAGCTAGGAACAATGTTCAGGAGGGTTTCTGGCCCAGAAGACAATGTTATTGTCCCTAAAAATGATGGCTCTGAATGAGTGTGAATGGTGGCTAAGATCAACACAATAGGCAAACTGTGTTTTACAACCATTATATTATATATATTTGTAAATGTTAATTTCCTTAGTATCAAATGAGAATAAGTAATGTTATTCTCACATTTTTCTTTACTTTATTTATTTTTATTTCTCTTTGTTGTGCCACCTATTTTATCTTATATCTTTTTTATCTCTTTTATTGTAAGAAATATTATAAAAAAGATATTGTCACTGTCAGAATAGCATTATTATAAGCAATTAATCACAAAGTTTTTGGTAGTGGGGGCAAAGACAGTGAATGATGAGGACATACTATATTGCTAAGCTAACATTACAAATTTTAAAAACGGGATTTTGAAAGAGGGAAAAGTTATCGATTGTAAAGAACAGTTGTTCATTACAAATTTTGTTATATTTTTTAGTCACAATTTTTAATATTTTGGGACATTTTTTTCGATTTAATTGTAATATTTTCATAGTATACGATTATTTATATATTGTAATATTTGTTTTTATTAAGTTTTTTTCGTGAAATGATTTTTTACTAACCAGTTTTATACACGTCCAAACAAATTTATGTGAATTGATTTTGCTCTTCTTAAATTCTAAAATTTTAAAATAACATGACAAACATCTAAACATAACACCTTGGATCCCATCTTAAAATAATTGCTGACATAGTATGCCCAAATGCATATCATGTCATCATTGACTGATAATAGAAATTAATTTTAAAATTTATGAGAACTAAAAAAATAATAATTAAGGACCAAAACAAATTTAGTCATTTTTTCGAGAAAAAAAATACTAAGTCTTATTCATAATTAAATATGGACTTCATATTTTAAGATGCTTATCAATATAATTTAATGGAGCAGTGGTTATTAATATAGTCCATGTTTGATTTTGTGTTGAATTTGCGTAAGTTTCTTTTGATAACTTCTATTGAACTTAAGTCTACTTCAAAGTGAATTATGAACCGATTGGGTAGCTTCGAACAAGTTAAAAGATAGGTTCTACATTTAAATTCGTGTAATAAATTGCTAAATTTTTGTATTATTTTTATTTGTCAAATAATTTTTAAAATCTAATAATTTTATTTTTAGTTTGTAAATTAACTTCTAAATCTATAAATCTATTTTTTTTTTCCAATATATCAACAGGTAGTTCATTCTTAAATAAAGCACGGGATGGTACCAGAAAAAAAAAAAACTTACATATGATATCATGATTTAGGATAGAATATAATATATGATACTATAGTCTAAAATAGAAGAGACGTGACATGTTGTCATGGGAAAAGAAAATTTTTTCTACGTTACAAAGTTCTTGTCAGGCTTTCGTTGTAAGAAAAAGATTATATTCTCTCAAGGAGAAACATATTTCAAAGTTCAGTAGCACGGATATAACTTTTATAACAACCTCAATTTTGTGGTCTTTGTATAGAAAAATGTGAGTTTTGGGTGTAGGGTATCTCGCTGTAGGGAGATATCTCTTGTTCTAGTGAAAAGAGCATCTAGAATCAAACATTTTGATGCTCTCTCACTGTAGCTAGAATGACAGACAGCAACGAAAAATTTTGTCAAGTTTTCTCGTTGTAGCGAAAAGAGGGCTTGTTGTAGCGAGAATATTGCGAGTTAAAAGATATTTAAGGATCTTCAACCTAAAAAACTTAGATTATAATTCAAAATTTTGACCTTCCCTCTGTTCTCTCCGATCTCTCACCCACTCTTCTCAAAAATTCTCCTCTAAACTTCAATCTTCCTTTGAATTCGGGCTTCGGAGCTTAACCATTCAGATTCAAGTAAGTTTCTTTGAGTTTGATTCTTCAACTTCATTTTTATTTCTCCATTTTATCCAATCTAAAGGTTTGTACTTTGTGATAATCAAAGAAACCTTAACCCCTAAGACGATATCCTCTACTAGGACGTTATGCCTCTCCTTTGGATCTCTAGGAAAACTCAATCTAAGAGACCTATTTCTAGGTAAAGGGAGTTGATCCCAAACCCTAACTCCTTCTTGGTATTTTGGTTCAAAAATGCTAAGTTTTTATTAGGACATTAAAATACTAAGGCTTTCTTAAAAGTCTAATGTGTAGGGTAAAGAGTTTGACACAAAAAACCCCTTTTGAACCCTAACTTTGATATTTTGTTTTGGCTAATAAAACTCCAATAATTCTCTAAATTGTATTACTAAAAATGAAATATCATTTAGATAAGATTTTATAGTGAAAAGATGAGTAACTAAGCTTTTAGGGAATCTTTAAGATTTTACTATTATTTATGTATGAACAAGTGATATTGAACTTTAGGATAGACTATTTTGTTATTACTGAGAAAGTGTGTATGTTGGGTTGTACGATTGGGCTGAGTCTGGAGGTATCCGACCTCCGGCACATTGTATTGATTTTTGTAGTGTGAAATTTTTTGTAGTAGATGAATGTTTGATTATGACTGAGGTATGTTGAAATGGATGAAGTTAGGTTATTGATGAAAAGTGTTATATTATTCTCAAAAGAAGAAAGAGTTTTATGTATCAAAGTAAATGATATGACATGATGAAGGAATTATGAGAGATGTGATTGTAATACGTGAGTCAGATGGATTGATGGTTGTTATTATGATACATGTGTTGTGGTACATCGAAAGGTATACTTATAAGACATGTATTGTAATACATTAAGTTGTGTAATCAACACTAATGTATTATGATACGTTAATCTATGAGAAGGATATAGAGAAGAATGAGAATGAAAATAAAATGAGAAATGTTGAGAAAGAGAAATGGAATAAGTATAAATAGTCATAGAGATACACTGGGGTGTGAAAGATGGGGACGATTGAGAATTTTAGAAGAAATGAGGGTGGTAGATGTCTTCCCATGATTGCGTAAGAATTAATGAAAATAGAGAGAAAAGACACTACAAGCCTCACACTCATTTTCTAACCTGAACCCTTGACTACACATTTGCTAAAAGAGACCGAGTCGACACACGTGTGTATCCATGTTGTTGCGGCTAACCAGCAACTATCTAGGCTATGAAGTCCTCAAGGGATCCTAGGGGTAGTGAATATGATGTAGTATAGAAATTGTATGATTATAATATATGCATTGTAACATATCAGTTGATGTTGTTATGATATATGTGTTGTAATATATCGATGAGTGTAATTAAGACACATGTATTGTAACATATTGATTGATGTGGTATAATACATGTATCATGACATACATATTAGTGTGAAAATGCATGCCATAAATATTTACCAAGATGATTGATTGGTTGTCATGTATGTGCTTCGCTGTGATAATGATTTGTATGCTCTGAGTGTTATTGTTAATCTAATACATATACATTAGATAATATTTTTAGTATTATATATATATATATATATATATATATATACTTTTCTTATATCGAATAAGAGATTTAGTGGGACGAGAGATACTCATCCTACTAATATTTTTAGGTAATGAAAGTGAAGAGATACAAATAGTTGGTCCATTCTAGAATCATAATCCAGTGGTATTAGAAAGAAGACTGCTCTGTAAGGACTAGAACCGGTTGAGAAATTTTAATGTTTTAACCAAATCACATTTCATGCTGACCAAGTTATGTAAATATTTCTTTAGTGTCAAATTTTAGAATTGATAATGCTTTAGTGAATTCTGTTGTGATAAATAATTGGAGATGTAAATTTAAGTTTTATTTATTATTTTAAAGTCTTGAAACTAATCCTTTGAAAGTTTTAAATTCTGTGAAATTTTATACAAATTTTCATCGTCGGAATGTAAGTTTTGTTTTTATTCAATTCTTAAATATATATATATATATATATATATATATATATATTCTATTTTCTCTTTTGCTTATAAAAAATTATTTATTTTTAGATAAGAAAATGAGGATGTTACAACTTTCAACTAGAATCAAAGGATTTTAGGCTCTTACATGACAAGACAGGAACTTGTAAAATTATCTAAGTTCTAAAATCTTGTTGAAAGCTAACTTTTGGAGAAATTTTGGGAGGATTTAGAGAAAAGTCTTTCCATGTTGAAGAAACTATATTCCGAGCAGTTTTAGAAGGTCGAAAGAGGAGCCTTATTCTTTGTTGAAGAAAAGGCTTAATTCCAAGGAGTTTTAGAAGGTTTTGAGAGTAACCTTAAATTCTTTCGAAAAGATGTGTGCTTTTCAAGTAGATTTGGGGGTTTTAAATCTCCAAAATAAGGTAAGCCAAAGTTGATAAAAAAAAGGGCGCTAATTGGAATATTCTAAGTCCTCTAGTTCCTATTGAGAAGATATATTTTTCAAGGAGTTTCAGAGGGTCCAAAGAAGCCTTATGTCAAAAAAATTACATTTTGAGGTATTTTAGAGGTTTTTGTCAAAGTCCCAGATTTTCCTCAGAATTGCTCAAAAAACAGAAAGTGACAAAAAAATATTCTAAGTCCACAAACCTAAATGTGCTCTCAGATTCCCCTCAGAATTGCTCAAAAAATAGGAAGTGACAAGAAAATATTCGAAGTCCACAAACTTGAGTGAGCTCTCAGATTCCCCTCAGAATTGCTCGAAAAACAGGAATTGGTAAGAAAATTATTCTAAGTCCATAAGAAACATGATATGTCTCAAAAAGCGATTACAAAGCTCAAAAGCAGTTACCAACAGTTGAAGGTTCAAGAACACAAAAAAAGATCATGGACGATAGCAGTTATGGAAGAAGCCTCAATCGACAACAAGATCAAAGCCAGTTATGGATAATGGGCAGCAGCAGTTGAAGGCAAAGCTTGTGTAGAAGGCAGTTACTGAAAAATGTCCGTAAAAAGAGGAGAACGGTGGTGGTCTATTTGCCTATAAATACCAAGAAGCTTGATATCACTGGGAATGACTTTTTGCACCCAAATACTGCACCTAAAATTCTCTACACGCTCAAATTCTACACCGTAGCAAACACTAGCTACCAGGAAGCTCACGGTGGTTGTTGTTCGTTGTTACTAAGAGTCATACATTATTTTTCTGCAAATTTACATTTTTGCAATTTACCTTTTTGCATTTAGTTTCCAGTTTGTTGTTTAATCTATGTTATGTAAGTTATGTTTAGCTTAATATTGTTGCATTGTTTAAACACTATTTCTGTTCCATACTATTATGGCTTAATTTTGCTTTACAACGTCAATTTGGACATTACGTTTAAACACTATCATTATTTGAATAAAATTTTTTAATTAAGAAAGCCTTGACCCTAACCCTTGTTAGTGGATTTTTGGCCCGTAGAACATTTGATTTATT